CTTTCCTAGCTAGATGATTTGCTTTTTGCTTTCTATCCCTTGGTGAACAGGCACCTAGAATAGAAGAACTTTATTTTCTTTGCAGGACTTAATACGATGGGTTAGATAAAGAAAAAGATAATGGTTTGCATACGTAAAACGCATGGAAGAAAACAGGCTACCACATATAGCTCTGGAAGGGAGACCGGTGGATAAGAGACAGCCTGGAGACCTCCAAAAAAGATGGAAAGACAGTTGGGTGTCCACCTCTCAAGAAACTTTGTCAACAGATCGAGAGAGAAGGATCTGTATTTTTGATTTAATACATAATTTTTACCAATAAATTAATGAAGACTAAAAATAATGTAGCATTACAAAGACCTGTATATTATTATTGTTTATCATCCACAACTTTTTCAACTGAATAACGTTACGCCGAATGAGCAGGGCCTTGGAATATCACAAAATGAAATATTATACTCGCGCATTATATATCGCCAGTTATTGACCTTTTTTTAAACATTTTATAAATTGGAATTTTTTGCGAGGTGTATGCATATCTAATTTCAATATCCGTTCTCAGCCATGCCGAACACTTTTAAATACCGTTTTGTGTTAAAGCTATGAGTACCTATCAAAGATTAATATTCATTACATACTTTGTTGCTTATTTTGTTACATGGTTTTCAAATTTTGCTTATTGTAGTATTATAATTGATAATGATAATATTTAAAAAGTACCAATATTGTCATCTTTATTTATATTTTCTCCTTTATGGGCCATTCCAAGTTTTTTCGGTAATTTTGCAATTACTTTTAAGCATCTTTAAGAGAAACTTTATAATCATTTTGAATCTTACCACTTAGGCAAATTAGGCAAAGAAAATAAAGTCCTCCTACTCTGGGTGTCCTCTCACCAAGGCATAGAAGGCCATGAAAAAGCAAATGATCTAGCTAGAAAAGGAACCGTTCTGTTTTCCAAGCAGAAACCAACTAAAAGCGGAACTGAAGAACCTGGAAGACTCCATCCGTAACATGGAATGGGAGTCCAACGGTCTAAGACACTCGAAAAAGTTCACATCGTCAGTCATGAGTTCCTCAGAACTTACGACTGAGAAAAATCAAATATTTTCCTTGATTTAAGTAAAATCAATCTTCGGATTGTCACGGGGTTTCTAACAGGACACTGTCTCCTCAACGAACGACAAGGCTGAAGCTGAGAAACAACGGCGAATGCAGATTCTGTGGAGAAAATGGGGAAACACCAGAACAGCAGATGACCGTTCGTGCCATGAACTTTGGTACGGATGTTGTCATTGATTTAGCAGAACTGCAGAGGGGTTCTGGACCTATGAAGGGCATTAATAATCTTTACAGTTAAACGTCTACACCAGCGTAATATTTAAAATATGTTCAAATCTTTCTAGTTAATATTTAAGTCGATTTTTAATTGAAAGGTCTATTTTCTTCCTTTTTCATTTTTCTATTTATCTTTTGGATATTAAAGTTTCAAAATTAAAACTGACTACTTCTTACCGTTTGGCCGAGTTTCACGTAATTCACCATAGTTTCAATTAATATTTAATTATAGCCAGTTGGTGCGGTTCTTGTTTGTTTTTAATAAGAGTTAGGAAAACACAAAGTGAAACAAATTAAGTTTTCTTTTTAATAGCCCGCTTCGCAAAAGGTACAAAATAGTAAACAGGAAAAATTAAAGAACTTCGAGTCTAACCAATTAAAGTTACCTGAGTGGGTTTAGCTTAGTTCGTTTATTTTTAGAAATAATACAAAATAAATTATGGAAATTTTTAAATTTCTGCATGCTAATTATTATAAATAGCAATAAATATTAGTTATTAGAAAAAATGATTAAAAAATCAGTTTGTTCTTTTTAAGAGTCCAGTTCGCTGTCTGAAAAAAGTATTAAAATAAGCGTTCGGCATTTAACGTTTTATGCAAAACTGGCTACGTATTTTTACACAAATGAGGAAGGATATTAAAGATAAAGGATTATACTCTATTCGTATTCTAGCACATTTTTAGACAACTTCTTTATTTTTAAGGTTTTGATGGTCAAACGTCAACAAAATATCCATTATGTTTGGACTAAATTTTCTCGAAAATAAAGGCATAATTTAAAATTCCATTGGAATACAGAAATAGATTGAAGTTTTGTGATTACAGTGATATATAATTTATATGGTTTTGTATCAAATTGCTCGCTATTTTATTGCAAATGCTGAAGCTCTGCAAACTTTAATCAAGCCGTAATCAAAGCTCGTGTGTTTGGAATTTTGGGTATGGATTAACACGACAGGATCGGGCTAAGCCGTAGGAAGATTTCTGAAATATAATATATACGAGTATATTTCCTTCGAGCACACACTCGCTTTACCCGACCCTGAATGCGACCCGAACAGTACAGCGTAATTGTGATGAAAACATGAAAAAACCTGCATTTTTTTGATTCCGATTAATATATCTAATGTAAAGCTTCTTTCCACAGCTATTTTAAAATTCATTTTTATCCTTTTATAACTTTTAACAAGAGCTATTATATTCTGATCCTATCCTATAATTCTGTCCTAAATTAGATTCCACGTCTCCACCACTGTCTAGAGCCGTAAAATGGGGCGAGTCCCTGCCCACACAAATCTGTCAAAGGCAGCCCTGCAGATAGTGAGGTGTTAAAACTTCTTCTCAGATGGACGGTTCCTCCAGATAAGGGTTTTGTCTAGATATGACACAAGGCTCGGTAGGGATGTCCAAAATTATCGATACAACAGAATATCGATGATATTTTTTTAAATGTTGATAACGAATTTTTAGTATCGGTAAATATTTGATCAGTTTGAGGTTTTTATAAAGAAATCATGCTTTAAATTTAGAGCTATATAGTAGTAAAATTATTGTGTCGTTAATTAAAGCAAACGCCAGTGATTTTGAACTTTTATTTGATTTTTTTTATTCCTTGTTTCTGTTTTTACTACTAATATTGGCCTTAGAGAAGTTTTTTTCTTGGTCTTGCGGTCTTGATCTCGATTTTGCATAAAAACAAGATCAAGACCTGGGCTAGCGTTAGATCTGCAGTCTTGCAGTCTTGCATTTTTTTCTCACACTTTTTATTTACATTTCATTTTTCATAGATTTTTGCTTTTGTCTCAATTTTTTCATTAGGCAAATATAGTTTCTTTCTTTATAGTTTCATTTCCACTAAGTTATTTAAAATATTATTTATTTTAAGATTTTCTAGGTATGTAAAAAGTGTCTCTAGTAAGAATATATTAAAAAAATTCAAGACTTGCAAGAGTTTTGTGACAAAACCAACACCAAGACTGGGCCCTGCAGAACCAAGACAAAGACCAAAATTATGTATTAGATTGCAAGACCAAGAGAGGTCTTACATTTGCTTATCACTAATTGGCATATTGTGTAATAAATTCTAAATGTAATTAAGTTTTAAAATTTATAAAAACTTGTTTTTAAGTCCTTAGCGAGGATCCTAGACAACTGTGGCTAAAATTCAACATTTGCCATATAATTCTTTAACATAAAATGCTATAAAAATATCGAAATATGATCGATGTAAGTAATCGAAGATAAAAATTATCAAAATGATATGTATATCGATATTTTTTTAAAGAAATGAACATCTCTAATTCAGAGTATTATACCTACCCGCTCATAACCGAATCTGAGATAACGACAAGGGACAATCGATTAGGTCTGGAAGGTTTTCTTTAGGGTAGAAAACCGAACAGCAATGTGCAAGATGTGCGTGTGTCTTTATCTTATCGTCCCAGAAACACTTGCTTATTAAGGCACTTTTATCGGTGTTATAAAAATAGGGAGAAGTTCTGCTCTGACAATTTAAGAAGCTTAAAATAAAATAATGTCAAAATAGACACTAGGATTTGGTTATTGTTTGTGATTTTGTACAATAATCTGATTTATAAGGTTGACACTTAATTTATCCTAGTATTAACGAAAAAAAATGTTACTAAGGGATTTTTCTTCCTGAATTCTAAATCCAGTGGCTTTTACAAAAAAAAATACATAATGTATTTTTTATTTTTAAAAAAGGAAAGAAATAAGTATCGGCATAGCCTGCTAAAGAGTGCATTACCACAGTACAAATAAATAAAAATAAATATATTAATTTTAAGAAACAATAAAATCGTATGATTATTTTGTGTCAGTTTTAAAGGTTGCTTAATTACAATTTGCACGCATATTTTACTGTATTTTTATTTGAAAAATATTCATTATTATACCATTCTCCATACTTGCGGTAAGTTGCCTTGTAGTTATGTCAAGGAAACCGCCACATACTTTACATCAACTTTTTCTAATAATTTCTAAGTTAAATCAAATGTCTTTTCAATTAAGTCGTGTGCATACACATGTTATTAACTGTTTATACAGGGTGAACAAGTGCAAAAAAATTAACTTGTGATGCTGGAGGAATCTTTGTTTTTTTTCGATGCTTAGATATGCAATTTATTGTGCCCGGTGGCGTAGAGGTACAGGCTCTTGTATACCAATCTCAAGGTTGTGGGTTCGAATCCTACACCCGGCATTTCATCAGCCGACTATTTTTATTAAAATAAAAATAGTTTGGGTACCTAGGTCGACTTAGCCTTAAATGAGTACTTGGGATTCACAATCCTGAGGTAATAATAGGCGGTTTGGTTTGGAAGCGTAGTGCTAGCCACATTATCTTCCTTGTATACCGAACGGCTCAATAGCATGGCCAGCTGTACCTTGCTACTCCCAAGGCGTCAAACGCTATATACGGGAGCTATTATTATTATTAAATATGCAATTTCTGTTATTGCATCCTGTATAGTTGCAGAAAATAACCATGACGTCCGTCCCGTGCAAAAACGATATGAAATTACTATGTCAGCAACGTTTTATATTTATATAACCCGCATAACACTTATACAACTTACAGAATGTGTAATTAATCTTTTGAGGTTACTGTTTCGTTTGACCTTTTGTTTATTTTTGTTTTTTAGTGGAAATCGAGATGGTGTGTCATGCGGAAACTGTCACCAGTTGCAGGTAATGATTTATTTTTTTTTGTTTTAATACAAAGAAGTTTCACTACAGTATAAAGAGAAGTGATTTTTTAATCATATACATATTAATGTACTTATTTTCTAGATTTATAATATGCATCTAAGTGCCGATAATTTAAGATATATTTGATTTATTTTATTAACATCTAGACCATCTTAATCATCATATTATCAAAAATATGTTGAGCAACACAAGATCTATCAGCTCTACCATTTCTTAATTAAGCCAAATACGCTTTAAATCTATTTATTATTGATCTGCACTAAGTTTGTCCAACATATCTGTGATTACAATTGAGGGGGTGGCTCCAATAACCAGCCAGCTCCATTTGCAACAATCAGATATGTCCATTTAATAGTACATAAATGGCAACCTTATTTTGTGATGCCTTTCGGTTTGTAGCCTTTCGGTTTGTAGCAAGAACTATGGCAGCTCCTGAAGCTGTTTTCAGCAAGCAAGATTTCTTAAAACACCTGATCATGAACCTTCTTTCTCAGTTAAAAATAATATTGAATTCATTAACAAAATTAAAGATATAACATTGCATGAAGGTGAAATTTCGGTCTCCTTTGATGTATCTTCGTTGTTCCCAAGTGTTCTAATTCCACATACTTTAGGCTACTTGAAGGAATTACTGAAGGCAAATGGTCTTGACAACAAAACTGTGATTGAATATATTGAGCTTACATCGTTATGTATGAAACAAAATTGTTTTCAATTTAATAACAACTTTTTTGAACAGCGGGAAGGTACAGCAATGGGTAATCCATTGTCTCCATTTTTGGCTAATTTATTCATGAGCAGGTTTGAAGTGGAGGCTAGGAATAAGTTTGAGTATTTTCCAAGAGTATAGTTTAGGTATGTGGATGATATTTTTGCTGTTTTTGATACACATTCAGATACCATAGATAATTTTATTTCTAAGTTAAATAATCGTTTTCCTTCCATTAAATTTACGCATGAAGTTGAGAACAACGACAGATTACCATTTCTAGATGTATTAGTTAGTAGAAATACTAATAATTGCCTGGAATTTGATATCTATAGGAAAAATACGACCACACGCAGATATATTCCTAATGAATCACATCATAGTGTTGAACATAAAATGGCTATGTAGCTGAGTGTAATGGATATTCTCCTTCACTAGTTGATAAATTAATTAGAAAACGTAGGTATAGGTTAATGATTTCTGAAAATTCGACTTTTCAAGTGGAGAAAGATACGTCTAAATATTTTTCGATACCGTTTGATAGAGAGTTATCCCGTGGTCTAAAAGGAATTTTTAAGAATGTCAATTATAAACTTGTGTATAGTGCTAATTGCTAATAATAAATTACAACAATTATTAGGTAATCCAAAGGATAAAACACCTCCACTGGAAAGGTCGGGTATTTATGAAATCTCTTGTAAAGATTGTAATCAGAAATATGTTGGGCAAACTAGAAGATCAATATTAACTAGATTTAAAAAACATTTAGCTCAGATAAGATATGGTAGACCGGATAAATCTTGCGTTGCCGAACATATTGTTGATAAAGACCATTGTATAGATCTTAATAATTTAAAATTAATTAAACAAGTCTCAAATTACAGGCAATTAGATGCATATGAAAGCATCAGAATTAATAAATGTAAAGATAGTATGAACAGAGACAACGGTCCAATTCCTTCAAGTTCTTTGTTCCTACTACTCTAGTGGCGGAAATCTAACTGTTACGCTCAGTGGGCTCTGACTCGGTTGGCTAGATTTTGCCACGCCCACTCGGTACCCACTGGGCGAGTATATAAACGCTCAACTTGTAGATTGTACTTTAGTTTATAATCATCTGCTGATGATGCTAACATGGTTAGCGAAACGCGCGTCCCGTGTAAAAGTAAAAGTGTTTTGGTGTATTGTGGTGATTTAGTGTTTTTATTTTGCTAAAATATAATACATAACTAACCACCCCGCCAAGTTTACTAAATAGGAAAGTTATAGATACATTTAAATCAGTTAAAATAAAAATTAAACACTTGAATCTATCAAAGATTCTTTCGGAAGTCCTGTCAAAGAATCAAATTCTAACAATTTTTTATATTATAGAATTTGTTGCTTGAAAACTCATATAAATTATTAAATAATAAACCCTTCAAATAGCTTTTTCATATTAAATATTTTGATAATAAGATTATTTTCATAACAGTTGACAAAAACCTATATAATCACAGTGTATGATGCCGTTACGAGTTTTTGGGTAAAGCTTTTAGAAACTTTGACAAAAACACTATTTACGAATTTTCTTGACAACAAACTAAATCCTTCAAGAGCTTCTAATTATTAAATAATAAGACATTATACGTTTGAAAAACCGTGACAAAACCCGTCACAGCTCCACGATATACGATCTCATTTCGTATGCCTTCCGCCATTTAAGCGTATTTCGGTTCAGCCCCGAACCAACCAAGATCGTTATTAAAATTTAAAATTTATACAAATTAAGTCGCGCACAAGTTTATTAAAATAAAGGAGCTTTCGCTGCGAGAGTCTCATTAAGTTTCCATGAAACACCACCGCCAGCGAAAAAATTGATTAATAATCTCGAAATACATTATGCGCAGACTTAAGGACTTAATTTAATGAAGTTTTAGCCCTGTTGACATTTATTCGGGCTCAGGAGATATATTTTAAGTTGATCGCGAGGGCTAATTTAAATAAAACATGGGAATTTTACAAAATTTTGCACTAAGTAGGTAGTATTTTTACTTGTAAAGTACTAGTATTTCAAGAACAGTCAGGTTTGTTTTTTCAGCAATTTCGGCTAGGTTGTGATATATCAGATGTGATTGCTATATCGACCCCAGAAATACGATTATGAGTTTTTTTCGCGAAAAATTTTTTTCGCTGCTTTGGAACCTTAATTTTTTTTTAGTTTTTAGTTAAAACGATAAATTTCGGTTAGGTTGTGATATATCGGATGTGATTGCTATATCGACCCCAGAAATACGATTATGAGTTTTTTTCGCGAAAATTTTTTTTTGCTACTTTGGAACCTTAATTTTTTTTTAGTTTTTAGTTAAAACGATAAATTTCTAAAGAGTAAATATGTTCCCTTTATCGAGTTCTACCAGCCCTGAAAATATTTATACCTACTTATTTAAGACTTTGGATTTTAGACTCTGGATTTAGTAAACTAGAGTTCTGTGTCAACTGGAAAAAACCCTATACATCTATGAATTTATTTTGACTTATTAGAACACAAATGATTGGTGAAAGAACAAAAAGAATTCTAAAAATATATGTTAAATAAAAAAAAATTAAGTTATGGAATTAAAGTATTTTAATTAACAGAACAAGCACTAAAAAACAGACTACGCTCGTGCACATGGTACCGTTATTAGAGACATAAACAAATCGGCTATTCGAAAATGAAGCGCTTGCCGATGACGAACGGCTAGAAAAAGAGATAAAAGCGTTTATGGCGGCAGCGTAGGTACACATAAAACGTCAGATTTGCGATCCGAAGAGGACGACGGACGCTTCGTTCTGACAAAATGCAATCTTTAAAAATAAATGGCTGCGGATGCGTTTCTCAGTCGAAGATTTCGCGGAAACGCCGACCACATGGAAGTAACGATGGCGTTTATTGCCGAATTTATATCCCGGCTGCCAGTGTGCTACTGAACGACTCGTAACAGTTCGAAAAGAGAAAAAGATAATAAATTTTCACCTCGTATAAAAATACCGCAATTATTTTACAATATTAGAAAATAGAATTATTTTACAATATTTCGTTTTTTTTTTCGAACATCTTCGAAAGTATACGGATATTTTGCATTTGCAATCATCAATTTGGCATTTTTCGTATATTTCTTGTAGTTTCCGAAATCTCGATGGTCACCGTTCAATTTGAAACACCTTCTATAAAACAATTACAAAAGTCTGGATCAGAGAACAGGATCACAGTCGTAGCAAGGCCTTCACCCAAGGACCTAAATCTAAAACAACAAAGGAAATGCTAATTCTTAGCAGTTATACTGTGCTGATTATAACATGTCTCTCGAAATGCCAGCCCTAGTATATGTATTTGTGTTGGTCCTGATAATATTTTTTGCAGGGTTAAAAAGCATTTTTTTTTATTTTTAAACAAAACATGTATTTTTATAATTTTATTGGAACAATTTCTTGCAACAATTTAAATTCCCAAAATTGATCATTCTTCTTGCACATTCTTTCAACATCCATTAATTCTTTCCCTAACTCATCCAAAGTAACTCATTATTATTAAAACCGCTTAATATTGTAAAAACCCGGCGAAAAGTCATCTTGTTATAAGAAATGTTCGTATTACCGTTGCTTTTTCAGAGTCAAGAGAGTCGTAATTTCAACTGGCCTTTATATAATCCCCCGTTTTAATAGACATTTTATAAAAATCCGATTTAGAATCCGTTCGGATCTTAATTTCTTTGGTCTCTTATTTCAGCGAAATTCAATTTCCTTGTTGCCCGGGCAAAAGCATCACCCATCTTTCTGAGAAGAATAATAATGTTGATGGTATTTTTCGTACCTTAAATTCTTTAGGCATAGCCGTAGAATAAGGGTAAAAATAATATTTTATACAATTTGTCGAATATACATATACATATAACCATATTAAATGTATGTTCACAACAACTTGTTCTTCTTTCCAAAAACGAGCAGTTTAACTTTTTGGGGAGTTTCTATTTGTAATCATTTTGTTTCCCCTCTTGTAAAAACGAACCGGGGACATACTGTAGTTGCGATTATAATTAAAAAGATAGTGTCTAAAAATTTGAAGCCTTGTCATTGGATAAACTAACATTTTGCCCAACGACAGGATGCATGCAGTTATAAATTGTATTTTCTGTCAATTTTTGCATATCATCTGTCGAAATCTTCGTTGATTATGTATTTTAGCTCCTGCTAATTGTATATGCAATTGACCTGTAATTTTAGTCAGCCGACTATTTAGTTGCAAAAG